AAAATCTTCTAAACAACAGCAGAGACATAATTGGTCAGTTTATATTTAAGCCCCTTGAGGTAGTGTAGATTCTAGTTTGTTCAATATTCATGAGCCCCAAGGATAGGGTGGGGCTACACTAGAAGATTTTTTTTTCAAAACTTTTAATGCCATGATTTGTCCAAGAAATATTGTAACAATCTCAGTTAGTGTAGATTCAAGTTCAAATCATACCCCCTCCCCATAGGGATATAGGTTGGTATATACCACTCATAAAATACTGAACTGGTCAAAGTGTTCAGGTGAGCGATGTGGCCCATGGGCCTCTTTTTTGTGCTTCTATTAGTGTTCCTTTTTATAAATTATTGTTTTACGAAACAGACTTAATCTATGATGAATGTTGTGGACTGTCTTTAATTTCAATAAGATGAATGAATTAACATTTTTAAAAATATATATTATTTTAAGCAGTATCTCTGTAAGCACAATATAGTTTGGGATATTGCTTTTACTTTTTTAATTGCTTTTTAAACAATATAAAACATATTATTCAACAGCAATTTAAAAAATTATGAAGAAAAATTTTCTATGAAAAAAAATATTAACATTTAAAATACAGGTAAACTTCGGTATCTCGACATCGGATATGTCGATTTTTGGGATATGTGGGGAAAAGCGTCACGCGGTCCCATCATTATTTACTATATAAATGATTTGCAAAAAATTGTCATACCTCGGTAAACTAATCTCGACTGTATTTGCAAGAGCAAAATTTATGGTATATGTAAAACATCGGGGCAATTTTCTGCTTAAACCTAAATAAACTCCGTTATTCGACGTCGTCAGATTTTACACCTTTCACACCCATGTTTTGACTACATATAGAGAAATGGTCTTTAACACGTAAATTGTTTAACATGTTTAATGTTCAGCTTGTGTAATTTCATTGTTAAATCTTCCCTATTCTGCATAAATGCAGGGACCTATATACTGGTATATAGGTCCCATGTAAATGTAAAACCGTCAATTCATTTATGTCGAAATCTGACAAAACTTAAAAAATATTATAAAAGAACAAGTTACTGAATTAAAATGAACAATATACACATTGAATGTAAATTAACTTAAAAATTGTGGTAAAAATGCATTCAACAGGAATCAATCAAATTTACGACATGCACGACTATTGCATCAGCCTATATGGATGCATAACATCATAAAGCTTGTTATTTGCGCAATTGCGAATTAAATTTTTTCAAAATGAAAGGAAAATTAATGATGAATGATTATGAAATTAAAAAAAAGAATGAAATGAAATAATTAAAATAAATACGCATTGCTTTTTGACAAAACTAGAGGCACTGGACGGAAAATAAAAGAAAAAAAAAAGCAGCTTATAAATAATATTTGTAAATAACTTTTAGATTTTCTGATAAATATAGAGGGATGGCTGAAATAAACGAGCTACAGTCTCATTGAAGACATGTAGGTACCTGTAGTTACACGTATGTCCAGTTTAGGCTATGGTTTTAATATGCAGTTTAAAAGGAAAAATAGAACAACTGTCCCGTCGATGTCGAGATAACGAATATGCATAAAAATCATAAAAGAAATTTCAAAAAATGCAGATGAGTAAGGTAAATAAAAAATAAAAATAAAAAGTTAATGAAAAGCTTCAACTGCAAATCATCGTGGATAAAATGACCACAGTGTCACATTTTCAATACCTTTAATAAAGCAAATAAAGATACAGCAAGTACGTACAATAAATAAATTAGAGTGATAAGAAATATTATTCTAAATGAGGAGCAGTGATATTTAACGCCTCGATTTTTACGTTTATAGGGTTAGCAATAAATATGTCGTCTGGTTTGAACAAGACAATTTTAAAGCTTCTGTAAGGTCTTTTGGTGTCATTTTCTGTGTATCTAGCTGTTACAAAGATAAGACAGCGGAGAAATTAATACGTCATATTTATTCTGTCTTCATTCGGATACATTTAATGTATATTTCGTAGACAAAAGGCTCTTCAAATTGTTGATACTTATAATTATTTAATTTAAATTTCTTGGACATTAATTTGAGAGTTTCATAAACAAAAGATGTGATATCGTTCCTCGCATGACATTGTTGATCGATCGAGAGATTGTTAAAATACAATTAAACACACTCACACACACACACACACACCCTCACACACACACCCACACACACACTCTCTCACTCTCTCTCTCATAATAATAATAATAATAATAATGATAGAATATTTAAAGGCCCGTGTCGGTTTGTCTGGAGATTCATGAAATATTCATGAGTATGATTTTAGATCTACTTTATTTTACATTTTTGAAATTTTGAATAATACATCCCTATCCTTTTTTTTTTATTTCCACATCAATGAAATTATAATTTTATTGTAATTAACAAGAAGTACACGTAATAACAATTAGTTTAACAGTACATTTTTTTTTACTTATCTTACAACGTTAACAATTACGGTAGTCCAGTCCCCAGATCCTGAAAATCAGGACTCGGGTAATTAAAAATGCTCACAAAAATGTCTCTGAAATTTTTTTATTAATGTATTTTTATTTCCGGTAATTCTTGTAAGTTTATAATCATTTTAAAAAGTTTTTCATATTATATAAGGAAATTAACAAATCTCAAATATTTTTGACCAAAAGTACCTGTTATGCATTTTTTAAAATTGCAAATTGATCAACAAAAATATTATACAATAAAAAAAAGTATAGGTCTTCTGGCATTTTTGAGAAAATTGCTGTTTTTCATACTTATTTCGTACTTAATTTTAATATTTCAATTCTTGTAAAATGAACAGTTTAAGATAAAATGCATGTACCATCAATGTAAGGGTTTATTCCCCGAATGGCTATTCGAATAAAACAACAAGTAATTATCACACTCAATTAAGGGGTCCTCTAAGGGGTACAGGTAGACTTACCTGTATGAATAATCTACCAGAATTGAAACAAAATAAAATGGATATTTATTTCTTTTTCTTTTTTTTTTTTTTAAATTTGAGCATTATTTTGAATAAATATTTTGTATACATATTTTTTACATAAATAATTTTACAAGCACAAAACATATTAAAAACTATTCATTATCTTGAAGTTCTTTTGATAAGCAGAACTGATTTTCACAATATATATGAAATAACACTTTTTAATTTTCACACATATTTACAATTTATTTAGTCCATCTCCATATATTTCTTCGCAACTAAAGGATAACTATGCAAGGTGAAGAAGTTCATAAACTTTATCTGTATTTTATGATGAATTAATAGAATGTTCTGATAATTAAAAATGATAAATAAATAAATTAAATTAAACAAAACTTTACGAAACTCTTTATTTATCATACATAAATATCTATATTATTTTAAGAAAAAAAAAAACATTTGTGTTAAAAGAATTTGAAAATGTAGCACAGAAAGGGGATAATAATTTGTAAGTTCATCGATAGTAATAGATTTTAATATCCAACATGTACTGTATTTTTGCACTATGTTATGATAATTAAAAATGAAAGATGAATAAAATAAATTAAACAAAATTTTATAGAAACACTTTCTTTATCATACATAAATATCTATATTATTTTAAGAAAAAAAAAACCCACTTGTGTTAATTTATCTAAAAGAGTTTGAAAATGTAGCACAAAAAAAATAAATAAATTAAATTAAACAAAACTTTACGAAACTCTTTATTTATCATACATAAATATCTATATTATTTTAAGAAAAAAAAACATTTGTGTTAAAAGAATTTGAAAATGTAGCACAGAAAGGGGATAATAATTTGTAAGTTCATCGATAGTAATAGATTTTAATATCCAACATGTACTGTATTTTTGCACTATGTTATGATAATTAAAAATGAAAGATGAATAAAATAAATTAAACAAAACTTTATAGAAACACTTTCTTTATCATACATAAATATCTATATTATTTTAAGAAAAAAAACCCACTTGTGTTAATTTATCTAAAAGAGTTTGAAAATGTAGCACAAAAAGGGGATAATAATTTGTAAGTTCTCAATCAATACTATTAATAGTTTGGGGAAATAAATTAAATTAAAGGTACGGTAAAAATTTCATTTTTCTTGAATCTTTATTTTATCTACTTATATTTATTTATTTTTTTTATTCAGTATAAGTAAGTAAGTAAGTAATTTATTTACTTATAGTGACATGTGTACATAATTAAATTCGTTTGTTTACAGACTGTATAAAACAACAATCAACACCCGGCCCATAGGGCCTATATGCCACTTTAAACACAATATTGAAATGCAATATATAAAAAAAATATATTTCAGAAAATAGAAAACCCTCTGAATTAATATAAGATTGAATGAATATATCTGATTTAAAAAATATTGCTTATCCAGGTAAACAAAGGTAAGTCTACCTGTACCCCTTAGAGGGCCCCTTAATTGAGTGTGATAATTACTTGTTGTTTTATTCGAGTAGCCATTCGGGGAACACACATCACAGATCACTTCTTACTTCATATCATACTAAAAACATTATTGTTTATGAAGGAGATATTAAAGGATATTTGATTTCTTTAAAAAATGCGTCAAATTTGACAAAAGTGTTTCGAACTAAGACTTCAAAAGAATCTTCATTGTACTGAATAACAATTTATAATTTAAACTTATTTGGAGACTTTAAATCAAAGATAATTTTAAGAAAATGATTTTTTCTAGGAAATTTTATTAAAATGTTTAATTTTTTTTTTAGGCCTAATGGCCGAACATATCTTTGCTACAATCTTGCATAAAGCTTTGAAATCAACAGGAAATAGGAAGTTATCTCGGGATCGGATAAAATTTTATACATAAACAAAATTTGATATTTATTCACAGGTATTTTAGTTAAGTTTCCATCAGTCAACATTTTTATCATATTTCATTGTCTTTTATACAAAAATGCATAATCGCTGTAATTCCCTGCATTTACAAATCCTTTTTCTAATTTCCTGTCTAAGACTGTTATTAGAATGACCTCAATCTAAACAACTTCCGGTTTTGTCACGTTGAATTTATCGTTCATTTGTTGGACGTTTGTTACTAAAATGGTAAGTATATATAGGATAATGCATTAGTTTAAAGTATTGTTGTCAGAGTTTTTGTCTAGTATAATATCAGACTTAATATGGTTTATTCGATTCACCAAGTGGTGTACATAAAATTACAAAAATATGTGCATTGTTCACTGTTCAGCACAGGGGCTTGTCACGAAATATCTATCTTCTTTTAATAAAGTTACCCCTACTATAAAAATACACAAGGGAGGAATCTAAAAATAGGAAATTCGCTACTACAAATTTTGACCGGACTTTCTGTCTAGTTTCTGGGCGACTTTCGTTGCCGACCAAGTAGGAGTGAGTGGAGTATAGATTCAATTTTAATATTCTTCAGTCAAATTCTAATCAACGCGTACCGTTAGTCATATAACTAACCTCTTTTCTTGATATTTGGATCTGGCGACAGTTCTTTCCATATGCGTAAATTGAAAGCAGCGCTCTGATTGGTTGCTTTTTGTAGATAACTCGTACACAAAGTATAAACTGGAAGGATTGACCAATCTCTACCCAGAGTTGTCGTTCGCTTCGCTACAACACCTCTGTCAACGTCTAAATGTCAAGATTCTTGGCAAAACTTACTTTCATCTATTGCATAATTAATTATGAATGTAAAACTTCTATATTCTTCTTTAACATGTTAAATAATAGTTAATTTATGAGAATTAGAATCAAATATCGCTTTTTCACCATATCCTATAAGGGATTATTTCTCGGCAGGATTTACGAACATATTGCTGATAAATATCAACATGAAATAGACAAACAACTTGCAGCATTAACACATATATAGAAATGTAAATGTGTTAACCTTCTTGTGGACAATTTTAAACATTTTTTTTTTTAAAAAATCACGTCCCTCCGCTTTCGCACTACTTTTTAGACGTTGACAGAGGTATAAGTGGAACGATAACTCTGGGTAGAGATTGAGGATTGACATGCTTAGTGAAGGATATTTAACATATTTATATAAATAAATATAACCAAATATAGTAAAATACGTACAATGAAACCACAGCTGTATTGTTCAATGCCATCATGACAGTTTGATTTTCCCTCCGTTTAGGTGCACTAAATTAAAGAGCTACTTTGTGTACGAGTTATTTACAGAAAGCAACCAATCAGAGCCCTGCATTCAATTTACGCCGGAAATTCATATGGAAAGAACTGTCGCCAGATCCAAATATCGAGAACAGAGGTTGGTTATATGACTAACGGTACGCGTTGGTTAGAATTTGCTGAAGAATATTAAAATTGAATCTATACTCCACTCACTCTAGCTGCAGATCTGTAGCGTTATGGTTTTATATATTTGTCTTTGACCATAACGCTACAGATCCCGTAGTGCAAAAAAGGTGCAATTTACGACGCAATATTTTTTGCGCTCTTTTGGGGAGAATTTCTCCACTTTCCAGTATCGGTCAATCAATTACCTTTCACTCCCTAATTCTAGACACATTATTGAACTAATCTGTATATTTTATCCATCTCCCAACCCTTTATAGTCGTCTCTAAAAGTGATAAACTCGCTTTATCAAAATTGTTCGTTAGAATACTGAAATTCACTTCAAGCGAGTTTATTGCCTTTAGAGACAACTATAAATGGTTGGGAGGTGGATAAACTATATATATTGGATACAGAATGTGTCTAGAATAAGGGAGTGAAAGGTAGTTGATTGACCAATGCTAGAAAGTGGAGAAATTCTCCCCAAAAGAGCGCAAAAAATATTGCGCCGTAAATTGCACCTTTTTTGCACTACGGGATCTGTAGCATTATGGTCAAAGACAAATATTTTTAAAAAAACATAACACTACAGATCTGCAGCTACACTCACTCCTACTTGGTCGGCAACGAAAGTCGCCCAGAAACTAGACAGAAAGTCCGGTCAAAATTTGTAGTTGCGAATTTCCTATTTTTAGATTCCTTCCTTGTGTATTTTTATAGTAGGGGTAACTTTATTAAAAGACGATAGTCATTTTAGATATTTCGATAGATATTTCGTGACAAGCCCCTATGTGTTCAGTGCTTATTAAGTAAGCCATGAACCATTGACCTAAAGCAAGGGGTTTGTTTAAGGTCTATGATTTAACTAGCCATATCACAGGGGCTTGTCACGAAATATCTACCGAAGGCTCAAGTGAGCTTTTCTGATCACATTTTGTCCGGCGTCCGTCTATCTGTCTGTCTGTTTGTCTGTCTGTCCGTCTGTCTGTAAACTTTTCACATTGTCGACTTCTTCTCAAGAACCGCTGGGCCAATTTCAACCAAACTTGCCACAAAGCATCCTTGGGTGAAGGGGATTCAAGTTTGTTCAAATGAAGGGCCACGCCCTCATTCAAGGGGAGATAATTGGAAATTAATGAAAATTTGGTGGTATGTTTTAAAAATCTTCTTCTTAAGAATCACTGTGCCAGGAAAGATGAAACTTATGGGGAAATATCCTCAGGTAGTGTAGATTCTAGTTTGTTCAAATCATGACCCCCCGGGGGTAGGGCGGGGCCACATAGAAATAATGGCCGAAAATTCTTTAAAAATCTTCTTCTCAAGAATAAGAAAGCCAAAGTTTTACATAGAAATATATAGGAAAATTCTTTAAAAATCTTCTTCTCAAGAATAACAAAGCCATAATTGATCATATTTATATGGAAGCATCCTCAGGTATTGAAGATTCAAGTTTGTTCAAATCATGACCCCCGGGGGTAGGGTGGGGCCACATAGAAATATATGGAAATTCTGAATAACATAGCCATAATTGATCATATTTATATGGAAGCATCCTCAGGTAGTGTAGATTCAAGTTTGTTCAAATAACCCCCGGGGGTAGGGCAGGGCCACAATGGCCTACCAAAGTTTTACATAGAAATATATAGGAAAATTCTTTAAAAATCTTCTTCTCAAGAATAACAAAATTTTACATAAGAAAGCAATAATTGGTCATATTTAAATGGAAGCATCCTCAGGTATTTTAGAATCACGTTTGTTCAAATCATGACCCCCAGGGGTAGCAGCCACAATGCCGACCAAAGTTTTACATAGAAATATATGGGAAATTCTTTAAAAATCTTCCAAAGTTTTACATAGCCTACCAAAGTTTGATATATATAGGAAAATTCTTTAAAAATCTTCTTCTCAAAAATAACAAAGCCATAATTGATCATATTTATATGGAAGCATCCTCAGGTATTGTAGATTCAAGTTTGTTCAAATCATGACCCCCGGGGGTAGGGCGGGGCCACAATGGCCGAAAAAAAAATTATATAGAAATATATAGGAAAATCCTTAAAAATCTTCTTCTCAAGAATAAGAAAGCCATAATTGATCATATTTATATGGAAGCATCCTCAGGTATTGTAGATTCAAGTTTGTTCAAATCATGACCCCCAGGGGTAGGGCGGGGCCACAATGGCCGACCAAAGTTTTACATAGAAATATATGGGAAATTCTTTAAAAATCTTCTTCTCAAGAATAACAAAGCCATAATTGATCATATTTATATGGAAGCATCCTCAGGTAGTGTAGATTCAAGTTTGTTCAAATAACCCCCGGGGGTAGGGCAGGGCCACAATGGCCTACCAAAGTTTTACATAGAAATATATAGGAAAATTCTTTAAAAATCTTCTTCTCAAGAATAACAAAGCCATAATTAATCATATTTATATGGAAGCATCCTCAGGTAGTGTAGATTCAAGTTTGTTCTAATCATGACCTCCGGGGGTAGGGCAGGGCAACAATGGCCCACCAAAGTTTTACATAGAAATATATAGGAAAATTCTTTTAAAATCTTCTTCTCAAGAATAAGAAAGCCATAATTGATCATATTTATATGAAAGCATCCTCAGGTAGTGTTGATTCAAGTTTGTTCAAATCATGACCCCCGGGGGTAAGGTGGGGCTAGCTGCAGATCTGTAGCGTTATGGTTTTATATATTTGTCTTTGACCATAACAAAATATATAAAACCATAACGCTACAGATCTGCAGCTAGGGCGGGGCCACAATGGCCGACCAAAGTTTTACATAGAAGTATATAGGAAAATTCTTTAAAAATCATCTTCTCAAGAATAGTCAAACCATAATTGGTCGAAGGTTTACTTTTGGATTTAAAACTTTTAAGTTTTTAATAATAAACCAATTTCTATTTTATTCCTAGCCACAGTGCTCAGGTGAGCGATGTGGCCCATGGGCCTCTTGTTTTGGTACACGATCAAAAGATTGTATTTTAAGTCCAAAAATTGTCCAAATAGTTTTGTAAATGCTGATCTATTGCCGGTTCAGATAGTTCTTAGTCTTCCTTCCTTGTATGTACCATATAGAATTCAATTGGTCACAGCATTAAAATGTTGTGGAATGTGCAAAAAGATGTCTTAAGCGTAAAGTGGTTTATATTGAGACTGGTTTTTTTATCTATAGAAACTTTACATAAGGTAGTATGATGTCACAATAAATTTATGTCATAAAAGTGCGGATAATCCATGACAAAGCTAATTCCAATCAACAACAAATTGTATTTGCTAACAAGGTCTTTGTATCAACCATAGGATTTGCAAAATGTTGACTTCAAAAGAGACTTTTGATATCCTTGTATCATCGACTTATTTGTCAGTAGTTAGCTTCATGGTAAAAATTGTTCATATGCAGAATATGCTGTTGTGTATTTATTAACACCTTATTTATCTAATAAATATTTAAGTGACATGTTTTATGCATTCTTTTTAAAAAAAATTTTAACAGGGAAAAGGCAAAAATAAAGCTGCCAAGACATATGCAGCAATGAAACGAATGATAAACTTAAAAGATTCACGCATGTAAGTATATTCTAGTTTGATGTTAGTTCAATTGTTGATGTAATTTTCCTGTAACAGAAAGAGAGGATATGCAACTGACAAGTCCAGGACACAAACCCAGACCAATGAACTCAGTTTAAGTAATTTTAGTCTTAGTTGATCTAGGTCTTATAAGCAGGTAATACATGAACCAATGATTGAATCTGCCTGCATTTTTTCTCTGTGATACACATACACCAATCCATGTCTATCTCTGCATTAATAGTCCATAGACAAAAAGTCATTATCACAAGTGCATAAAGGCCCCACAGGGAGGTCTCACTTAGTAACTGTCTTAAAACTTTTACACAGAAAATATGAAGAGCGACAAAAAAAGAAAAGGAAATCCAAAAAGGCAAACCCACAGAATATTACAGAGAGAAGTCTGTAAGTATGAAGACAATTAGCAATACAATTTTAATAGGGGACAAAATCAAAAGATCAATATATTTGATGAAAAGATAATTTATTTTATGTCAACATTTGAAATGATGGATTTAACTTAAAACATTTTAAAAGGAATTAATTAAATAGCAAAGTTATACTGTATATTAAACCTGGGTTGGGGCAGTTTACGCTTCATAAATAGCGAAGCTGGGTCACTATTTACTTCATTCCGTATAATTTAATTTTCTTTTCAGTCATTAAGTATAGAAAACAAGACAATTAATCCCTTAAAAACATAAAATTGTTCATATTTTAAACATAACATCATGCGGCTTGATATGTTTTTGACGTAAGTCATTGTGACGTAGTCAACCCAGGTTATACAATATTTTAGGGATGGGTATCACCAAAAATTTCATATCGCGATATATCACGATTTTTTTCCCCACAATATCACAATAATATCATGATATTTTTAAAAGCAGTTTTTACAATGATTTTATATGAAAAGTCATTATTTTTCTAAAAAATATGCTAGAAAAACAAAATTTTACTTTCTTGAAATTTTTATTTATATAAAATTAATTATGTTTGGATGGTAAGATGCCATTCTTTTCACTTTTTACAACATTTTTTATATTTTCTGTAATTGTAATTTGAAAGATTGAACAAATAAATGAATAATTTCTGGACTTTAAAATAAGTACCTAAAGACCGGTATTTAGGTCTCCGTATCATGATACGTATCACGCAACAAAAAATCGCAATATACCGGTATACCGATAAAATCGCACATCCCTACAATATTTAGATTAATTTTTTTATCCAATCAAATCACACATTACAAACCAAAATTAAATTATTGTGTTTTTATTTTGCTATTTCAGACCACAGGCTTCTTCAGCCCTGTTCTTTAGATACAACACGCAGCTGGGACCTCCATACCATATCATTGTGGATACAAACTTCATTAACTTTTCTATCAAAAATAAACTGGAAATCATACAGTCAATGATGGATTGTCTCTATGCTAAATGTAAGTAAATCCTACTCCAGCGTGATAGAGGTTCACTGGGAGATACTTTTGACGTGAGGTATGTTAGGAAAGTAGGGACATTAACCAAGGACCTGTAGGAGTAAAATGAAATTCAATATTACTAAGATGCCCACTCTAGTACCGGTACATGTATTTGCTAAACTGAAAATGTTGAATATACATGCAAACTTACTAGTTCACTGTATTCTTTGTAATAATATAGATATTGGAAAATATTTTTCTGACACTTATTCTAAATGAAGATTTTTTTGAAAATGAATTTATATGTTTCTTTCTTTAAAGGACATTGAATTTCCTGTCACTTGTACACAAAACATTCCTTAATCCTTATGCTCATTTTTCTATAAATTTAACTTTCTAAACCATTCAGCGGGCTCAATGAGGGCAGATAATATTTTTTTTAACCTCTAAAGCAATCGTCAAATTATAGTGCTATGATTATTTATTTTAGGATTTTAAAGTTAAACATAAAAACTGAGTATAGACATCATCCTACGATTCAATAAAAACATGTATTTCAATGAAAAAAATTCTTCCTGCTTAACATATGTAAATGTACGGCATTTAGAATAGTTATACTGTTATAAAGTCGATTTTTTTTTTATTGATGAAAAGACTTTTAAAAAATTTCAGATGCATGTTGAATGAATAAAGAATCACAGTATTCATGATCAATGACAAAATCTTTCAGGTATACCCTATATAACTGACTGTGTCATGGGGGAATTGGAAAAGCTGGGCTCCAAGTACAGGGTAGCACTAAGGTAGTCTTCTGCTTTTTTTTCTCAAATTTTAGCTATAGTAAAAAGTTAATTAAATTTTGGATATACATGTATTACATGTAGTTTACAGTGATGAAAAGTTTGAAAATAATTTTTTAACCCATTAGGATAGCAAGAGATCCAAGGTTTAAAAGGTTGCCATGTTTACATAAAGGAACGTATGCTGATGACTGTATTGTTCAGAGAATCACACAGGTAAAAGGGTTTTATCTTAATGAAACTAAAAGATGTTGCACCAGTTACAGATTTCATTTTTCTTCAGAATGACAAGAAAAGATATTGAAAAGAAGTGATATAGTAAAACACACTGAAATGTTTTAAACAAATGTTGCAAATTCTTAGAACAGTCACATAATTATTTCAGCATAAGTGTTATATTGTTGCCACATGTGATAAGGACTTGAGGAGAAGAATTCGTAAGATTCCAGGTGTACCTATCATGTACTTACAACAACGAAGGTGAGTCTGGTCTAACTTTATATAAATAGTGCATGTTTTTTTAGGGTAACAGTGTTACCAGGGCCTGATGATATATGAACACACTATTGAGAAAATATTTCCCTTTCCAATTTCATTGGAACATATGATACATCAAAAGAATGCTAAAATTTCATGTGACACTCCAGTTAAATAACATTTTGACTTTTCAAGGACACCTTACCGGTAATTCCTGTGGAATGCCAATCACAATTGCTCTTGTTCTTTATTGAAGAAAACCAATAAATTTTTAATCATGTTAAATGCACAGAATTGTTGCTAAAACTGTTTTTAAAACTATGGTAAGAAAACTTTTGAGAAGCAGCAATAATGTTAACTGTTGAAAATGTTCTCCACACCATTATACAGTTGTAGAATAAATGTCAAATATTTTCAGATACTCAATAGAAAGAATGCCAGATGCATTTGGGGCACCCAAAACATGATAGAGGCAAGAGAAAAGCAAATAATGGTTAAATTGATTGTGATTTATATTCTTTATATCTGTTTAATTTTCCTTTACATGTACTTGTTTATTACACAATTTATAGAGAAGAAAATGAATATTGTTTTGATAACAATAAATTATGAGTTTATTTCACCTGTGACTAATTTTTTTACCTGTCAAAATCTTACACATGTGAATATTCCGCAAGGTATTTAACATTTTAAATGAAAAGTAGTTTAAAGTACTGTACATTGCTAAATTTTCATTTTGTAAAAAATTTATAAATGCTGGTTATCTGGTAATATTTTAGAAGTAAATAAAAGTCTGTACATTACTTTTCCTATGTTAGGATGAGAGAAACATTTTATCACAGTGTACTTTATAAGAAATTAAAAATTGTTGAATATGTTTTTGGAGTAACTAAACTGTATGTGCATTAAAATGATACAGAAACTCAAGTTAATTTCTTAATTTCATTGATTTTGAGAAAGTGTTACCTGGGCCTGATGATATATGAATTTGGTAAAATGATATTTGATCACATTATAAAATTAAGTATAGGGAAATTAAATGTTCTTCAAATTTAAGAAGTTTTTATGTTCAACTGTACATTTTATTAAATTTAATAGCTGTTTTTAAAAGGAAAGGTAAGACAAGATAATATTTAATTCTAGTTGGGTATGATTAAAAGAAACATTTGAACTGAAAAGTTATTTTCTAACTTAATAAAAACCAATTTTTTGGACTTTGGGAAAATGTACAGCTAAAAGGACTTCATATTGATATTATCTAGTTCATTTTAAACAAAAAAAGTGCTTTTCCCAAGTAACTATACCAGTAAATCTCTCCTGCTTTAAGTACTGGTATGTATTGATGATGCAACTAGGGAATCCAACAGTGGGCCAAGTGGCTTTTAAGGAGTTAAAAGTGTGGAAAGTTTGACAGGTAAATATAAAAGAATCTATGGAATATTTTAAAAGTCATGTATCATCCAATCGTTGAGGTTTGTGTCCTTAGTGCTATGATGCAATGATGTGAGGACAAAGTGATAGCGCTATGAAGACAATGCAATGGCAGGACAATGAGATGACAATTGCCATGGTTTATCGAGGCGATAGTGCAATGATGCCATGGTACTCTAGGGATGATATGATGGTGTGATGATAATACCATGATGATGAAGCAATGTTCTCTTTGTCATCTCGGCATCTTCACTGCACTGTCACGCCATCATCATTGCATCATAGCTTCATCATTATCACCAATTCATTTCTTAACATATGTCCATCTAGGTTTATTTTATAATACTGTATATACAGTCGAACTTTGCTATCTCAAACCTGATTGGGGCTGAGTAAAAACTTCTGAGATATTCTTGGATTCGAGATATCGATGGTAAATTACTTGAAGAATATGTCAGTTGGACTTCCACATGACTTAAACATATCCATATGCATTCGAGATGTCGGAGTTTTAGATACCGAAGTTCAATTGTATATCAATCATACCAGAATGCTCATGTAAATTTCCTTTTTCTGAATAAAGATTATTACTTTTATTCATCCAGCTTTAGGAATACAGCTTCTTATACATTATACTTTTTAAAAATACAATGATTCCATATAATTTCAGTGAAGTTGAGACAATATTTCAAGAATTACTTGCCAACTCTGCATTCTAGGCATTTAGCTATCACAGTAGCTCAGTCTATAGATCACTCGCTCCATGTTTGGAAGGTTGTGTGTTTAAATCAAGGCCACAACTGATTTAAGTCAATAAACCAAGTCTCTGATGAGACTGTAGCTCTGCTGGTCTGTACATATAACAAATGAGAAGTAGCACTTGGATTTGAAACTTTGCATCAGGCAGCAATAAATGGAATTATATGTATCTCGATGTAGTCTACTTGCAATTCATCAAAAATCGATGCACTAGTTTATGTATCTTTGTTCAGTGTTCTTGAATGCAAAGTTATATTGAAATCAGACCAAAACTGTAAGAGGAGTAGCATTTTGAAAATTTTTTTACAGACAGACGGACGGACAACTTACAATCGCATAAGCTCTTCTGGTCTCTGACCAGAAGAGATAAAAATAGGTAGCAACTACTCATTGCCAAGTGCTCAACACTTTGAAGTGAAAGTTGTGGGTCCTTTGGATGAGACCTAAAAACAATGGCCTTATGTCACAGTAGGTAATGGTAAAATAAGAACCCTCACTGCTTAATGTCCCAGAAACCCAAGTAAAGGTCTAAATTTGAAGCCTTTCTCAGCATATATTTGACGTCTCTATATGAGTGAAAGAACATGCAATCAATCCAAGGCATTTAAAACATGGTTTCCAATTTTCTTCAATCTTGACAAATTATAATCTGTTTCTTTCCAGAACTGACCATTTCTCCAAATTTCTAGACAAATGAAAGTATTCCAATCGAGAAGAAAACATCAGATGAAAAATTTATTATATTTTATTTGTTGACTGAAGAATAGTGAATGTTACATAAATCATATCAAATAACAAGCCTGCTTGCTCCCAAGAGGCAAGAAGTTCATTGCTCCCAAGTTTATATATAACATTGATATAGCCTTAGTATTACTTAAGAATAACCATCCATTCACATTTTTTAAATATAATCTCCATTTTCTGTGTCCAATCATAAACATTTTCCAAATTCACTTTTGAACGCTTGTCACAACCATAAATGGCAGTACTTTCCTTCCTTGAAAACAAAGCCAAACTGCTTATTAAAAATATTTACTTCTAAATCTTTTTACATTTTGAAATTATGCACGTTTACATGTTGAATGAAAGTACATTTAGCACAGTTCAACCTTCTGTAATAGCAATTTTCTCAAAAGTGGCTAATGAACATTACACTGAAGTCATCCTGAACTCTTCACAATTATAATATCTGGATGAAAACAAACAATATATCTCATTCACACTCACTTTATGCTTTCATACAGTAAAAAAAGATCGAGGATGCACATGAAAAGGCTCTGAATCATGATATGAAAGCTGGCAACAATTGTTGAAAATTGGATTTTTTTGTACATGGACATACAAGTTTAAACTGTTCTGCTAACCCTGTGAAAATCTTTCTACTCTCATATAAATACTTTCACAAAAAGAAAATTATGTCATCTTAAATCCTTCCTTCAAAGTTGCATTTCACATATCAGTGTTTTGGCTATGCAAGTTGTACAATATATAGAAAATGACCCCAGTGAGTGACAGTCTACAATACTAGAATAAAACATACAGAGATCCATTCTCGCATCAAAGATGTTCAACAAACAAATTCTGATAAATAGATCAGGACGATAAAATGGGATAAATAAACGAGATGTTCTCACAAAGAAAAACTGTTTTTATGTCAGAGTATGGCAATCATCCCACATCTACTTGATAAAATCCCATTTTCCTTCCTAATCAACATACAATGAAAGTTACCTAGGTCAGAAAAGGAGGCAATGACATTGGAATGCTCACACTGTGTAGCTTATGATTCAATACTTCTGACATGAAAAACACTTTTAAAAGTGTTAACATCTTATATATATAAGGAATAATGAAAACTGTACACTTATAATTAAAGGCATATCTTTAGCTTTCAAATAAATATATGCATTTAACACTTTTTTTTTTAAAGAAATGTTAGGCTTTATGTTCCTCATATCAATGAGGTTATCGAAATTGAAATTAACTAGAAATCCACATAATATTAATGAATCATTAATCAAAAGCAAAAGGAAAAGAAATAGACACACATTAACAAAAAAAAAAAAAAGAGAGAAACGAATACCATTAATAGAAGAAAGACTCCATTACCATCGTTTCCTGCCAAAAGACAGAACTAAACATTCTTGAATTTAGAGTCTCCAATTCTGATATTTTCCATATTTTGGTTTAACAAGACACCATCACTTTTGAATGGACAGTCTAATACACAAGAGTTTTACCCCCATACATAAATTGTGTGTCTTATACAATGACTACGATTAACAACACCCTCCTGAAGGCTTGACAGGGTTGCTAGCGTTAATTTTTACACTGGGTTTGTTGTCCTGTGAGGCTGAAATGACAGGTCCCATCCTGTTCTTGATTTCTGCGGCCATCGTCATAAACGCTTGTTCCACATTTGTAGCATTCTTTGCACTCGTCTCCAGGAAGGGAATTCCAAGCTGATCTGCATATTCCTAGAAATCAAAAGGGTAAGTGTTCAGCAAATAATCAAGGCTTTTAATTAGAAAATTAAAAATATTATACCCTTGTAATAATAATATGTTATAACACATAATAACATTGAAGTATTATACATTTTTTCTATTTGTCACCTATTTCTTACCTTTGCTGTTGTGTAATCTACCACTTTTTTGGTCTCCAGGTCTGATTTATTGCCCACAAGTAGTTTATTGACATTTTCACTGGCATATCTGTCAATTTCTTGTAACCACTGCTTCACATTGCTGAATGATTCCTGCAACAATATAAAATGTCCTTCAGTATTTCTGCAACTCCCATGTTTTTCTTGGCATAATACTTTGCCATTCATTTGTTAAATAAATGATCATTCCAATTCCTCAACAATTAGGTTTTTTTGTGTTAAACTGTGCAGTTATCCATGAAAGTATTTACATGAAGTGCTTTATTCCAGAGATTCATTGATATATCTTGTGATCAGGATGTACAACTCTATTCTAGATCTCAATCTTTTCTCTCTATACATTATACACACACAAAAAATCTTTCTTTATGTGTCATATTAAGGTATGTACTTTAAACTGTCAAACTGTTTATTTTTTTATTTGAAAATCTTGAATAAGTCATAATCTAACTAAAACACCCATAAAAAACATATCTTTGCAGGTTAATTTTCATGCGACATGTCTCGGAGTATATACCTCTAAAAATTCAACAGCCAAAATTCAACATATAGAAGTGTAACATCATATTTTATTTAGCTATGTACCAAATCACATCAAATTATTGTTAAAACTTAGGAAAATCATAAATATTCATTTGTCGAGAAAATATTTGAAATTTCTATTTGAAAACTCAAAAAATTGATGTGGATTCTGTCAAAATCTTTCAGAGAAAAAGCTCAAAATATCTTTATTTTAAATATACCTCAAAATCTTATATGTTTATATGCTATTTTTTCTTTAGAATTATTTAGAATTATATCTAAGGTTAGCAAAAAAACATACTTTATTATGGTTGACCAGAAAAATTTTACAAAACAGCCTTTTGAACACCTATACCCCCATTTTTGGAATATCTATTTTTTCAATAGTTCTTCGCAAAACTTATTAAAAAGTGTAAATTTAAAAAGATGGTATAGGCTAAAAATTAAAGATAAATAGATCTCAAGTTAGTTTGTTTAAAAAAAATTAAAAAGCATTAGGACCATAAAGGCAATTAAGAATTCTCTGTCTGTGTATGTACTAAATTACATATAGATCCTATTGACAGAGTGCAAAGTGGTTATTCCTATAAATAATGTACATTAAATGCTTTGTGTGCACAATGACACTATAATAAACAAATATATACTTGCTACATTATTTTCAATCATCAATGAAGATTTTATTTCAATAGACAAAGATAATAAAAATTTTATATTGGTGTGTAAAATTAAAACCGGATCCGTAAAAGTGTGGACCTGCCTTAAATGTTAAACTTCACATTAATCAGTTGTACAATTGCCCACTGAACTGACTCAGATCTATTAAACTACCCACAAAAAAAAAAATAGAAAAAGTAGCCCTACATGGGGCAAAGCAAAATTCCTGACTATGAACTGAACCCAACATGTGTAAAATTTGCTAAATGGTTCCAGGAAAAAAGCTGAAAATGGTCCAATGTGAACTAATGCTTAACAACAGACAAAAAGAGATCAAAATAACACACCTATTTGATTTTTCTGACAATGTTAATATTTCTCAGAATTTTATTCTCATGACCTTTGAAACAGATGAATTGATGCATATTGTCAGATCTAATGAAGTTGAAGTCGATTGCAGTGGACCCTCAGATATCCGGATGCTTCAGTATCCGTACGATTTTCCATTGGAACAAAATTTTTTAAGGTTATTTTGTCTTATTTAACTGGTAATTCAGATATCCGGATGCTTCACATATCCGGATAAATTGACTAGGAACCAAAGTGTCCGGATAAATGAGGCTCCACTGTACATAATAAAATTTTCAGGAACTAACTGATCTGATTTAGCCATTGAGTCATGCGGCAATCTGTGTTGTCAGGGATTTATCTAGCTATTTTGTTTTACTACCGTTTTATATGTAAAGGGGAAAAATGAGAGCCGCAGGTAAGGGGGTACGGGGGCCCCCCCCGGAAAATTTTTAAATAAATGGAGCAAAATCCTGCATTCTTAGAGCTTCTGAAGGTCATTTGTAGACCTTTACAAAGGCCACAAAAACTTCACTTTTTAGGCAAAATACTAAATAACACACACAAAAAAAATTTAACCAGGAGGACTTTATTTATCTTTCTCTCTGAATATCTATCACAAATCAATTCTCCTGTTTCTCATGTTTCACTACTAACATTGTTTTTGTTGTTACTCCATTCTTCCGATTAATAGTGATATAAGCTCCATCTTACTCATCTATACTAACTCTGCAGTCGCATGTAACATATCTTGGCACATGTTTACCGATCAATATCACAAAGAAGCTTGAAAATCTATTCTTCCTCTAAAAGTGTTTGACTGACTAGGATGGTAAATTAGGATATGCTGTTAAACTTCAATTGGACAAAAACGGAAAATTTCAAAACAAAGTTTTAAATATTCTCCGTTTAATAGTAAAATTTTCAGGAAAAAGGGGAATTTTTGCACCTTTTTCAAGAGGGGAAAGGTACCGTTTACCGGTAGTAAAAACAGCCTTGATAAATCCCTGGTTGTATTTACCTGGTCAGTGACGTCGTAGACCACAATTATACCGTGAGCACCTCTGTAGTAACTGGATGTTATTGTTCTGAATCGTTCCTGTCCAGCAGTGTCCCACTACAAAAATACCTCATCTTACTCTCTAATACACTATGTGTATTTTTCAAAATAAACCTTTCAATATCTGTAAAACTTTTTTTTTCAAAATTGTAATATATGTATATATATATTTTTTCAATATTGATATGAAAATAATTCTTATCCCAAAAATACATTATTGACAAGTAATTTTTTTTTATCATTCATTAAATATTTTTTATCATACTTACTATTTGTAACTTTATAGTTTTTCCATCTAATTCAATTGTTCGAATTTTCTGAAAAATATGACATATAAATTACACATACTGTATATTTAATTTTATAATGAAGAAAAACAAATGGACATAAATCCTGAAGTAACAAGCCCAACAATCAATCTTGTAACACAAATTAAATCAAAATTTTATTGGTAGGTAAAAATGATAGTGAAATTCTACTTTACTTTTTTTTTAAGGTTTTGTAACAAAATCAAATATATATAGAAATTAAATACTTACAAAATCTACTCCTATAGTACTTATATAGCTCTCTGTGTATGTATCATCCTGTTAAAATTCAAAAATACTTATTTTAATTCTGACAACCGGTCCAAACAAGTGCTCTTAATATTGTAATACACAAAAGGGGCCTTTTTAGCATTGTTATTAATTGCTAGAATGTGTTTGCTGTAACATAATTTTGTTTACTTTAACAAAAGTTTCACTTGCATGACCATTAAATTTTCTACTTCGAAGGTTTTCCCCTTCTTAGTAAAAATAAAATGTATCATACAAATCTGTTTATTATTTTATTTTTCAAAAATTATGGCATGGCAATCCAACATGACCTTTCTTAATAACAGGGAGAGGTTGTTACACTTGCATAAGAAACTTATTTTGACCAAAAAAAGAGGATATGTGTACTTTATTTTATCTTTATAGTTATGAAGTTTTTTTTTTTAATAAATATTAATTTTGAGTTCAATATGCTTTTTAGAGAGATACTCACTGCAAATCGTAAGAGCAGACAAGACTTTCCCACACCTGAGTCACCAATCAACAATAATTTGAATAAATAATCACTGAAAAAGACATAAAAATTACATTTATAACAGTGTAGCCCTGCAACAACAATTTATCATAAAAATGCAGTATGTTTCCAATGTCATTATTTTTGCAACCTGAGTGAAAACGATTACACACAATTCTAATTCCTCATCGCTACGTTCAAGTTACATTCAAACTCTGTCTTTCTAGATTTATCTTTTTCAAGTTTCCTGACATAACAAAAACCAAATATTTTTGGCCTTTGATCATGAAAAATATAACTGATATCTTCCTCAGTCATTCTCAGATCAGACATGATTCTGAAGCAGATTTAAACATGACCCTAACAGGCAGGGAGGGGGGGTACCTAAACATTTTGAGCATTTAATTTCACTCTGAAATTCCTCCATTTTTGGAATCTTTATTTAAATATTGCTTATGACCTATTCTTTATTGTAGTCTTTTACATTTTTCTTTAGAATATTTTGGATGTAGACTGCGATTCATAATCAGATTGAGACAGGGTGAACAGACTATAAACATTTCCATTTTAAAACACAAATAAACCAGTAAACCAACTTGAAATAAACATTCACCCGATCAATGGTGATACACATATTTTACTGTGGGCAAATAGATTTACAGCAAGGATATATATACACACTATGTGCATATTCAATGTTTGTCTGATGTTCAAATTTTATGAATCAAAATTCATATATTTGATTAATTGGTCTCCAGTTAACTTATTGTACCAATAGCAAAGTGTAACAATTAAGCAAAGAGGTAGAATTAATGATACTGTAAATTTACTTTATTTTTTCTAAGGTTTTATAACAATTTCAAATATATATAGCAAATTCAATGTCACGGTCATTTTTTTCACTATATGCTTTATAACTTGCCTGTATATAATTTAAACCTTTAAACGCTATCACATAATGTTGATATGTTTCTGTATTGCATGAGGCAATATACAATGTTATGGCCCAAAAAAGTGCTCTTACGTATTTGATAAGTTACACAACATCCTTTTTAACAGTAATTGCAAATTAGCTACATTGTGTTTCAAGCAATGCATAATTTTTTTACCTCCCTAACAAAAGTTTCAATATGTCATAAAAGACCATTAAATTTTCCACTTTGAAGGTTTTCCCTGAGAATTTCTGTAAAAATCAAAAATGTATCAGGTTGCAAATGCAGTATTTATTATTTTATTTTTCAAAAATTATGGCAATCCAACATGACCTTTCAACTAGTCAATGCATTATGAAATAAAATATGTCATTTTCCTCATATCCTGTAAATTCTTTTGAAATTTTTTTAAAATTGAAGCATTTTTTTTTATTTCATATAAGCACAACCTCTGATCCAAAATAAGCAAATACATAATGAAAGCACTGTTTCTGGAGATCAAAAAACATATTTTATTTTTTATAATAGAAAGGTGACTCAAACTTCTTTTTGTCTTGAAAAGGTAGTCAAAATATGACTATGTTTCCCTGGGTGAAATTTCACTAACATTGCAACTAAAGCATTTAAAAAAATTGTAGGGTCGGCACTAAAATTTATTATAGAAAATGAAAGAACCAAACATACTTTTTTTAATATATGAAAGGGAGAGGTGATAATTAACATTTGCATAAGCAACCATTTTACCAAAAAAAAGAGGATATGTGTACTTTATTTTATCTTTTCAAAATAAGAAAATTTTTTTTTTTTAATAAATATTAATTTTGAGTTCAATATGCTTTTTAGAGAGATACTCACTGCAAATCGTAAGAGCAGACAAGACTTTCCCACACCTGAGTCACCAATCAAAATAATTTGAATAAATAATATATAAAAGACATAAAAATTACATTTATTGTTAACAAGTTTTATAACAACAATTTATCATAAAAATGCAGTATGTTTCCAATGTCATTATTTTTGCAACATGAGTGAAAACGATTACACACAATTCTAATTCCTCATCGCTAGGTTCAAGTTACATTCAAACTCCGTCTTTCTAGATTTATCTTTTTCAAGTTTCTTGACATAACAAAAACCAAATATTTTTGGCCTTTGATCATGAAAAATATAACTGATATCTTCCTCAGTCATTCTCAGATCAGACATGAAACAAACATGACCCTAATATACAGGCAGGTAATACATGGTATATGTAAGGCCCAGCAGCTAACGAGTAAAATACAACATTTTGAACATTTAATTTCAATTTCACTGCATTTTATTTAATTTAAATATTGCTAATGACCTATTCTTTATTGGTGTCTTTTACATTTTTCATTAGAACCAATAGTTTTGTAAATTTGCCTGCGATTCATAATAATTTAATTCAGATGAACTTTCTATAAACATTTCCATTTTAAAACACAAATAAACCAGTAAACCAACTTGAAATAACCATTCACAACCGATCAATGGTGATACACATATCTTACTGCGGGCAAATAGATTTACAGCAAGGATGTATATACATCCCTATGTGCAGTATCAATGTTTGATTAGATGTTTAAATTTTGCATGAATCAAAATTCATATATTTGATTAATTGGTCTCCAGTTAACTTATTGTACCAATAGCAAAGTGTAACAATTAAGCAAAGAGGTAGAATTTCTCATACTGTAAATTTGGAATTGATTTGTAATGATCTGGCTTCCAGACGAATTTCACTTTCTGATGTGAATAGCACCTCCCATCGTCAATGTCACGCTCATTTTTTTCACTATATGCTTTATAACTTGCCTGTATACAATTTAAACCTTTAAACGCTATCACATAATGTTGATATGTTTCTGTATTGCATGAGGCAATATACAATGTTATGGAGGGAAAAAAGTGTCTTACGTATTATGATAAGTTGCATTGCTAACATCCTTCACTAACAGTAAGCCTTGCAAATTTAGCTACGGTGAGTTTCAAGCAATGCATAAACTTTTTACCTCCCTGCATGTTATTCAATATGTCATAAAATTTAATACTACTTTTCAAAATAAGAAAATTTCATTAAATTATGAAATATTCACTATTTAAAAAAACATTTTTAAAGAAGCAGAGCTCACTACAACAGGATATATTGACCAATTCAGTTAAGTTACACGTGTTGATTTTGACTCAACACTTGTGACATTTACAGCCAGCTGATGTGCACAACTTTGTTATGACAATATTCCTAAAGATGCCAAGTCTTAACCAATTCATATCACCATCAATTTAATTGTTAAGACATATTCGTTTCATAACGTAGTCAGAGAGTAAATGCAGTCACGAGATGGAACACACAATGAAGTTGTGACAGGTCGATTTCAACAGAACGATGACGAATGATGACGTAGTCCTTTTAAAGATATTTCTACCTATATCAACACAATACTTACTATTCGGGGTTCATTGTGGACATAATATGTTAACGAATCTAACTATTTCTTTCACACTCCTTTCTTAGAATAGCTGTTTTGTAAGTGTATATGTCTCTGTTACTTCGTCGTACACCTTCGTTCAATATGGCTTCCTTCTTCGTGATTGCGCATGCACAGTTAGGGGTGGAATTATTTTGCATATGACGTCATGCTCAAACGTGGCATCACGAGATCAATGTTTAAGTTCCGGTTTCTCGGGGAGCATATAAAAAAGATAAATACGATTTTTTGTAAAAAGGGGTCCTCTCAAACTTCAAATATGAAGGACACGTTAATTACACCCCTCCTTCGATCTCCGATGAATTTATATAACCCTTTTAAAACTGGGTCATGTATTTGATATTTTCTTTATCACAAAAAGTGGCATTAGCCCTAATATTAGGCCGAATATTAAAGAAATTCCCTTTTTAAATGAAAAACCACACGAATAGACGACTTTCACATTTACAAAAGTTATTCCCCTTTGCGGGGTCAATCCGGGGTCAACCGGCGTAAGATACACTGGGGGCGAATTTGTTTCTCAAGAACTGGGTTAAGTTTTGAACCAGTTTTGTAAACCGTTCATTTGTTCCACAAACTTGAAACCAACGGTTTTTCATTTGTTTTGGCTGTAACTGAAACTAGTTCGTTAAACCAACCAATCCACTTCCGATGGTGGTTTATTCGGTTTACGAAAGAGCAGGAAGTATTCCAACATGGCGATGATGAAAGAATATGTTTATTACGTATTTCATCATGTTGACTAAAATGCCACATTCTGATATTTGATGGCAATAAAAGGCTTCAGAGAATAGATAAATTGTGAAAAAAATGATGTTTGTTCAATAAATTTGAAGAATAAAAATATTCAAAAATAAGGTAACCATTTGGACAAAAGACATGTATGGTAAATTGAAGAACATATACTGTAAAGAAAGCTTAAATATTGCTAAAGAGTGATTATTTATACCCGAGTGTTCATCTTTCCATGTGTTTAAATGTGGAAATTATTCATTTTGATTAATCTTTTAGGCACTAAAAATATAAATACTGCATTTTAACTATAAGTAAGGTAATCAAAGAATATAAATACGTTATAATTTCTTGGATTCTAATATTAAGAAAAAGATTTTAATAAATTTATTTGGATGTGTAATTTGGTTAATACATGTACCTGTATGTTGTTCTGCATCTTTTGACGCCATCTTGTATAAACTGTTCATTTGTTTTACCGAGGTAAACCGGATGATAATTTAAACCAGTTTGAAAAACTAGTTTTAAACCTCAACCCAAAACCTGAACCAGCTTACGTGCAACAAATTCGCCCTGGGGGTGCGTTCACAGTTCTGCCGTTGGTAGACAAAAGTTGCCATTGGTAAAATTAATTACCATTGACATGCCAGTGGTACCAATGTTTTTTAATGGCATAATTAGTTAAAGTGTGGTTAATGTTGGTAAAATTGCTGTATCGACATTTTTACTTGGAGATTCACAATGATACAAACGATTTTTCTTCTAAGCCTTTTGAACAAATCATGCCAAAATCACATAAAAATTATATTAAACACTTAAATTCATGATTTTAAAGTATGATTTAGACATGATCCGTTAAATGGATTATATAAAACTCATAGATATGGCAACTAAAAAAGTGTGATCCTGATGTGGTTTGTTTCTCGGCTATGAGTCTGCTATGATTTTCTTGCGATTCTGGCATGTGCCAATAACGTAGAAGACAAAGAAACTGTAATTCAAATTACCAACGTTTCCATTTCCCATTGGTAACACTGGTAAAATCGTTACAGTTTTATGCCAATATCCGTTCAGGGTTTATTGGTACAGTTGGTACCATTGTCAAATTATTGCACCAATGGTATATTGAAAGTTGGTACTAATTGTAGAACTGTGAACGCAAGGGTGTGTTTCCCCTATAACCTTACCAACCAGATTCAGAAATAAAATCTGCATGAAAATGTTGCCCCATATACTGGCAATACAGGTACAGATCGAAATTGTCGGATAATGTTTTAAAATCAAAAATATTTACAGGAAACTTACAAAGGAATGAACAACGGGAGATAACTCTTAGGAATGTGAAATTCAAATGAATATTAAATAATAATATGATAAAAAAAATTTTTTTAAAAAATAAAAAAAAATTTATCTACGAAAGCCTAGAAGGGTCAAATATGGAAGAAAAAAAATCGTTATTACAAAATAAAAAATCGTTATTACGAGATAAAAAATCGTTAATATTACGACTTAAGAAAGTCGTAATATAACGAGATAAAAAGTCGTTATTACTACTTAATAAAGTCGTTCTTACGACTTAATAAATCGTAAAGTCGTAAGAACGAGATAAAAAGTCGTTATTACGACTAAATAAAGTAGTTCTTACGCCTCAATAAATAGTTATTACAAGATAAAAAGTCGTCATTACGACTTTAAAAAGTAGTCATTACGACTTAATAAAGTCGTTATAACGAGAAAAATGTCGTTATTACGAGATAAAAAGTCGTCATTACGACTTTTTATCTCGTAATAATGACTTTCTTAAGTCGTAAAAACGATTTTTTATACCCCCGCTTGAAAAGCGGGAGGGTATATAGTAATCGGTATTTCCGTCCGTCTGTACGTCTGTCCGTCCGTCCGTCTGTCGGTCCGTCCGTCCTTCCGTCTGTCCGTCCGTCCGTCTGTTACGCTTTGGGGTACCCATCTCTTATCCGCAACTCCTCTCATACCACTGAAGGAAATTTAATGAAACTTTCACAGAATCTTTATTACATATTGCCATTGTGCACCTCCTATTTTACTTTTTGATCTGACATATATTTTGGATTTTCCAGAGCAAAACATGGATACTGCCAATATATTCATATGGGAGGCGGGGGGTATCATTTAGTGAGCTCATTGCTCACAGTACCTCTAGTTTTATCTCGTTATTACGACTTTATAAAGTCGTAATTACGACTTTTTATCTCATAATAACAATTTATTAAGTCGTAATAACGACTTTATTAAGGTTCATAAACCCTCTGCTCACTCATATAAAATGTATCTTTAACTCTTATGATTTCCCAAAGGAAGTGTATTTGCTTAGTAAAATACAAACAATAATAGCATGGCTTGCGGGGAAAAACTGGACAAAAAAAGACATTTCAATTTGATTAATTTATAAAGGAATAAAAGATATTCATGTCATTAAGAGATATCTCTCTTATCAGAGTATCAATATACCTTAAGTCGTAACAACGACTTTTTATCTCGTAAGAACGACTTTTTAATTTTTTTTTCATTTTCCATATTTGACCCTTCTTACGACGGCGTATTCGTGCCATATTGACAATGTAGAGAAAATTTTAAAAAATCGTTTGTACGATTTTTAAATCGTTGGAACGATTTAGAAAAACGTTTGAACGTTTTAGAGAATCGTCTGTACGATTTGTTAAATCGTCTGAACGATTCAGAAAATCGTTTGTACGATTTGTTAAATCGTTTGAACGATTTAGAAAATCGTTTGTACGATTTAAAAAAAATCGTTTGAACGATTTTTTTCTGATTTGGAACAGAAGCATAGTGGATAAGAAACCTGGTAAAGCTGTTGTATAGAGAATTCTCTTCGCTGCTGACTATAACAGGTACAGAAACACTTATAATAAATTTTATCTTGTTCATAAAACTGTGTGAATATTGTTGCAATGTTATAATTGGTAAACCATCATATCACGATTACATTCACAATGTTTCTATGATCACTTGTCGTAATTTGTACCTTTGTTAATGTACAATCTTCGTCTTAATCTGTTTCTTTTCCTTAAACGCACTCCCTCCGGATCTTGTATAGAAAGAAGACATCGAATATCTTCTTGAGATACGGTAAATCCTGCTATAATAGCTTTCCAGTACAACCACCTGTATCCATGCAATTGACCACATGACTCAATTTAAGTGTTTCCTCAATAAAAAGAGCTACATCCCCTATGTCGGATTTGTATTTATGTATGAACAGACTCAACTAAGCTGATGTCCTTTTCAACGTTTGTTCACGAACAAAGACTCGGTGAGTTTGCGAAAGGAGCTGTGCTATTTCCGAAAAAGTGAAACCCATCTTGAAATATCTCTGGAACAATTTTTCTCTGCCATTCATCGTGTCATTCATTAAAACTTTGCATGGATACGTTGTTCTACTTGTGCAAGTTTTTCTACTACGCTTCTTCTACATGTAATAAGAAGAAATAAAAATCGTACAAACGATTTTAAAAATCGAACAAACGATTTTCTATATCATACTAACGATTTTAACAAATAGTACAAACAATTTCCTAAATCGTTCAAACGATTTAAAAAATCGAACAAACCTTTTAAAAAAAAACCAAACAAACGATTTTAAAAATTGTACAAACGATTTTAAAAATAGTACGAACGATTTTAAAAAATCGTACAAACGATTTCCTAAATGGTTTTAAACAAGAGGCCCATGGGCCACATCGCTCACCTGAGCACTAAGGGTAGGAAAAAGTAGAAAATGTTTTTTTATTGCAAAGTTTAAATCCAAAAGTAGTCCCATGACCAATCATGGATTTGCTATTTTTTAGAAAATGATTTTTAAAGAATTTTCTTATATATATATCTTTAAAAACTTTGGTCGGCCATTTTGGCCCCGCCTTACCCCGGGGGTCATGATTTGTACAAACTTGAATCCACACTACCCGAGCATGCTTCCATATAAATATGATGAATTATGGCTTTGTTATTCTTGAGAAGAAGATTTTTAAAGAAATTTCCTATATATTTCTATGTAAAACTTTGGTCGGCCATTTTGGCCCCGCCCTACCCCCGGGGGTCATGATTTGAACAAATTTGAATCTACACTACCTGAGCATGCTTCCATTTATATATGATGAATTATGGCTTTGACATTCTTGAGAAGAAGATTTTTAAAGAATTTTCCTATATATTTCTATGTAAAACTTTGGTCGGCCATTTTGGCCCCGCCTTACCCCCAGGGGTCATGATTTGAACAAACTTGAATCTACACTACCTGAGCATGCTTCCATATGAATATGATGAATTATGGCTTCGTCATTCTTGAGAAGAAGGTTTTTAAAGAATTTTCCTATATATTTCTATGTAAAAC